GACAGTCTGCTTTGTTGGAGGGAATTTTGCCATTAGGAGTTCTTATTGAATTCACAGGTCTGGACTGTCTTCCCTTTCCCAGCCTTTTCCCCTTAAAATTGTGCTTTGATAGTGTTCAGTGTTTAAACAAGAAGAAAAAGGAAAACCAATCCCAAATGATCTCTTGGTTACCAATGTTTCACATGATAAAATACACAAGTTTATGAAGTTCAGGTTGAAAAATTAATTTGATGCTGGGAATTGTGCTATTTACTCTCCATATCTTCTGAGAATAAGGAGGCAGGCTAGGCTAGGCTCAGCGCATCCATTTCACTTTATTCCCCTCTCTTGGTCTTTCACAAAAGAACATATTCGATGGTTTCAGAAGCCTGTAAAACACGTCACTTGGAAAATAGCCATTCATCTTGATTCTGAGTCAGATTTTGCTTCCAACTTTATATTCTGGTCCAGACTTCCTGACAACCTGCTTGCCTGTGTTCTTTTAAAAGACGACTTGGTTCTCTTTGAGGTATCACATGGGGGACAAGTCCAGCCGTTGCTACATACTGCTTGGGTGACCCTGGGCTTGTTGCTTAACCTGGCAATTCTCTAGGCAACTCTGGAAGACTGAGAGTTGCAGAGCAGGTGTAGACTATATCGTTAGGGGGATCCTCTTGGCCAGAGTTCCGTGTAGCAATGAAATCACATGTCCAGCTGTCTTCCCCCTTCTTCAAAAAAATCAAGAAAGGGAAGGAAGGTAGAAAGGGAGGAAAGAAGAGAGGGAAAGGGAGAGAGAAAGGGAGGAAAGAAGGAATAAAGAAAAAGAAAAAAGCAAGGAAGCAAAGAAAGAAAAAAGAATGAAAAGAAAGAGGGAGGGAGAAAGAAAGGAGGGAAAGGGAAGGAGAGGGAAAGAAGGAAGGGAAGAAGGGAGGGAAGGAAAGAGAAAGAAAAAAGAAAGAAAAGAGGAAGGGAAAGGAAAAGGGAAGGAGAGATGAAGGAAAGACGGAAGAGAATCTAGTGTGGGTAGGAAAGGTAGGTCTAGATAAGCAAGACACTATGAACTTTAGTACTAGAAGAGCCTTTTGAGGTCATCAAGTCCCAAGACCCATCACCTCCTTTTACAGTTGAGGAAAATGAGGCACAGAAAAGTTAAGTGACTTGCTCCCGATCACACCTAGTAAGTACTTGAGATGGAATTTGAATGTAGGTTTTCCTGACTTCAATCCACAGTTCCAATTCACTATGCAATGAATGCCAACCTCCTCATTTTGAAAATAAGAAACTGAAGACCAGGCATGGGAAGTGATTTGTCTAAGGTCACTCAGATACTAAATAGCAGACCCAGGGTTTGGACCTAGGTTCGGTTGTATTGGCTGCTGCTCTTTGGGTATTTTCTGGAAATTAGGGATCCAAGAATAGGTGACCTTTTCCTCTCTTCATCTACAGAAAAAAAAATGGAACCACTTGAAGCTCAAATGTCTTGTGCTATGCCCTTGGCTTTTGACAAAGCAGACATCAGATCTTTTTCTTTGCTGTTGCATTAATTTTAAACTCTGCTGGAAGCATCCAAAACCACACCAGAGTCTCAAATAGCAGCAGTTGTGGGCTTTTAAAAATAACAATACTTATTATTTTAGCTCTCTCCCAGATGTAAACCCAAACCTTCCTGACTACATTTCCCGCTCAGGTGTCTGGAGTTTGATAGACTGTCCACTAGTACCACAACATAAACATCTTGCCCATAGCACTTCAGAGAGAGCCTTGTGACCTAGAGAGGTAGGAATGATCTCCCTTGTTTTACAAATGGGGAAAACTAGAGGGACGAAGGGTGTGACTTGCTGGAAACAAGGGACTGAACCAAGCTGTTACTGTCTCTGCCAGCATGACATTACATGATCAGCTGCAAAGGCAGAAAAGGGCATGTTACGTAACATAGCCCTGAACAAGGCTATTAAATAGTAACATTGCTGATACATTATAATTGAACCCTGTAGTAAGTGCTATTAACTGTTACATCTAGTCTTTTCACAGCATTTGTAACATTTTCTTAATGGAACTAGCTGCCCGTCTTAGCATTGCCAAAGCCCTGCCTGCATTGCCCAAGTTGTGATGGTCATGCTTCTGTGGGTGTGGAACAAGGCGGGTTTCAGCTGTGTTTGCCCGTTACTGTCCATCAGGGCCAAACTGAGAGTAACAAGGGGAAACTGCGAAGAGGTACCTTTAGGCTACAAGCCAGGACAGGCTTCTTAGCCATTAGAGCAAAACAGGCTACTTTGAGAGGTGGCGGGTTCTTGGTCTTTGGAGGTCTTCAAGGAAATAGGGGATGACCACTTACTGGGTATGTTGTAGAAGGAGCTCTTGTTCAGGTCTGGGGTGGACTGCATGGGCTCTGAGATCCCTTCCATCTGCACTTCTGAATAGCTCCAAGTTTTAGAATGAGAGAACCTTGATGCTAAAAGGGACCTTAAAGGTCATCTAGTCCAGTCCCCTGTAGCAGGACATGATTCTAGACCTAGAGACGGAAGGGACCTTAAAGGTCATCCAATCCAACATCCTTTTACAGATAAGAAAACTGAGGCCTGGGGATAAGAAGGGAATTTCCTTTGAGATCACATAGCAGAGCCAGGTCTAGGATCCAGGTCTGACTCCCAATCTGTGGATTCTCTCTGTCATAGTTAAGCTGCCTCTTTCTTTTGACACAATGCAAAACAGACTTTAGCCAGTCAGTGTATGAACTGGAAATTCTTTTCCATTTGAGAGATAGGGTTGGGGGCTGGGAGGTAGTGAGCTGAAAATACTGGGAGAATCTGGGCCATAGTCTGCCTAGAGAAAGCCAGGGAGATTCCCTTGAATCCTTCCATCTCTAGACAGGATATTAGCCAAGAATCTGGATTAAGCAGCCAATGGGGTTTGAGCAATTCAGACCCACTCCCCCTTTGGGCTCATTTGATGCTTAAAGGATTTGTATTTCACTGGGATGGTTGCTTCCACCACAGATATGGAAAGCCTTTATGTACATACATATATACATACATGTACATATACATATATATTTTCATATTTTCATGACTCCCTATGTTTAAAACATTCCTTCACAGCAGGATCCCCTTCTGCTGATGAGTCTCTCTGACCTTAGCTAGGGTAGTCCTAGGATCATTGATCTAGAACTGGAAGGGAATTTATGAACCATTTAGCCCCTTCTTCCCTGTACCCATTTTACAGGTGAAGAAAAAGGCCTGGTGAGATTAAGTGATTTACCCAAGGTCACACTGGTAGTAAGTGATAGGGGCAGGATTTGACTTCAAATCCAGTGTGCTTTCTACTGCTCTATTCCTCTGATGACATTCCTAATGGATGATACTCCAAATTGCTATTCCTAAAGCATAGGTCTGACCATGTTTTTTTCCTGCTCAAGAAGTTTCAGTGGCTTTCTGTTGCCTCTAACACAAAATTAGTTGGCCTTTAAAGCTCTTCACCATCTGGCTCTGTGGTATTTCTCTAGGCCGACTTCGTATTAGGGTCTTTTACACAATCTCCATTCCAGTCATGCTGGTCTCCTTTCTCCAAGGTCCTTTTCCCAAACACAGCATCCCATGTCCGGCCTCACTTCCTGCCTCCCTTGGTCACTTCCACCTCTCCCTCAAGGCTCAGCTTATGTACCACCTCCTACACAAAGGCCTTTTGGATCCCCTCAGGAAGTAGAATCATCATGGTGTAGTAGAAAGGAGACTGGGCCTGGAATCAGAGGAGCCAGGTTCAAATCCTGGGGGAAGTCACTAATCTCTCTGGACCTCAGTTTCCTCATCTATAAAATGAGGAGGTTGGACTGGATGCCCTCTGAGGGCCCTCCCAGCTCCAGATGGATGATCCCTTGGGCTCTGAGGTCATCTATTTCAATCTTCTGATTTTACAGACCAAGAATCTGGGATTAGGAAGTGATTTGCCCAAGGTAGTAAACAACAGACCTGGGCATCAAACAGATGTTTTATAAGCAATTATCGTTCAGTGGTGTCTGATTCTTCATGAACCTATTTGGGGCTTTCTTGGCAAAGATACTAGAGTGGTTTGCCATTTCCTTCTCCAGATCATTTTACAGATAAGGAAACCGAGGCAAAAAGCATTAAGTGACTTGCCCAGGGTCACACAGCTAAGTGTCTGAGGTCAGATTTGAACTCAGGTCTTCCTGACTCCAGGCCTGGCCTTCTATCCACTGTGCCACCTAGCTGGCCTCTCCCCCAAATTATTTTGTACTTATTTAGTATATATTTATCTGTATGGATATCCCCCTACCCACTGAAGTGTAAGCTCCTTGGGGTCAGGGCTATTCATTTTTGTCTTTGTGTCTCCAACAATAAGCAGTGTTGCCTGGCCCCCAGGAGTTGCTTAATAGATTATTGTCAGATTGGACTGGATCGCAGATGTTGTGCTCTTACAGCCTAAACCTTTTCAGGTTGGTAGGATTGTTCCAAGCTTGGTCTCTATTGGCATACCTAGAACCTGGGCTCACCTCCATGTCACAATGAGGTACAGAAGTGCCCGAGTGTAGGGATTAAATTCAATAGCCATTTTTAAACTACCTATGGAGAGGTAGTGTGATGGAATGGTTAGAGAGCCCTGACAGAGTCCAAAAGCCGTGGAATCAAGGCATCCCTGACAGAGCTTAGCTGGGTGATCCTGGCCTAGTCAGCTCTCTAAGGCTCTAGGTTACAGGCTACCTACATTGCCTAAGGGAGTTTCCCACGCTGATGAAATCTTAGTGCTAAAACTATCCCCTCCTTGATTAAAAAAAAAACAACAAAAAACCAAAAAACACAACCCAAAACAATCCTACTGTGTATAAGGCAAATATTCAATAGTTCTGGACTTTAAGGAGCTTACCTACAACTGGAGGAAAATATGTTCCCAGATCAGTAAATACAAAGTAAACTGCAGAGGGAGAGAGAATTAACAGAGAGTTTGGGAATCAGGGAAGGCTTCTAGTAAGAGGTGTCATCTGAGCAGAAACTTAGACAAGAGAGAGGTCTGAAGCAACTGAGGTCATGTTTGAGCACGTTGCAGGCAAACAGAACAGCATATGCAAAGGTGTGGAGGTAGGAATAACTAGGGTCTGGTTTGGCTCCAGAGAAAGATGTTTGAAGGAATAATATGGAAAAACTCAGAACAGAACATGCTAATTAGACTCTGTAAACAAAAACCATATAGGCTTTGAAAATGCAAAAGATATTATCAGGATTGATGGAAACTTTCCATTATGAACAATTTGCATGTGACAGTTGACTCGTTGATGGCATTCATCCCCACCCCCCACACTTTTAAAAGGACAAAGAGAAAGTACTGCTGGCTGGAAAATCCTCTTATTTTCCCCAGGTGGTGACAGGTGCTTCATGCTTCCTCAGCCTAGGGACTTCAACTCTTGTTTGCTGACAACGGTTTCTGCTGACACCGACTCACTTTACTTTCAGCCCTTCAGTAAAATCTGTAGAGAAATCCAGATGTCAGACAGTTTGTGGGGTGGGGGAAGGGGACTCCCATGCTTTCTACCAAATCCACAGCTTCACTGAACCTGCAGCAATGTATGAGCACTCCCACATCCCTCACATTCGATAATTTGGATCCTGACCTCCCCTTGGCTTCCTCTCCCTTTCTGACAGAGTTCCACAGGATCATAAGATCATAGATTTGAAGCTGCAAAATACCTTAGAACTTGTCTAGTCAAAATCCCTCATTTTATAGATGAGGAAACTGAGGCTGGAGGAAGGAAGTGATTTACCTAAGGTCACAGGTAGTAGGAAGCTGAGCTAGGATTTCAACCCAGAACTTCTGAGTCCAAATCATCTTTTTACCACTCCATGCTGCCTGAGATTTGAAGGTATACTTGTAATATTACAGAGAGGAGCTCCAGTTGGTAAAATTGTCAGGAAAGGGAAGACAGGATGCCACTGGGAAAGATGCTTTGTAAGCCCATGACTTATTTAGGGCCTGTCTGCAAAGGTAGCAGGTAAGGGCTTTGCTAATCACGTATTAACTAATTAAAATGACAATTCTTTTTTTCAGGTGGGCTACTTTTGTGCTGGGGGAGACTGCATTTAGTGGGAAGCTAGAAACTAACCAGAAGATTTCAGATAGGGAAGGTTATGCAACAGGCCAGGCCAGGCGTTCCAAGCAATTCAATGAAGAGATGTTGATTATATCCATATTATAAATTGTTATTACATTATATAGTATTATATGGATACTATTATTATATCTATGTATAGACATGCCTACGAACCAGTTTACGGACTGAGCCCTAACTAGGGCAGGCAACCAGAACTTTTTCCAGGGGGCTGACATCCAAGGGAATGATACATGTAACTCTAGCGAGGTCTCCATTCCCTCAGGATCTACATCAGGGGTGCTGGAAGCCATCCAGAAATATCAGGTGAGTTTTCCCTGGTCCACTTCAGCCTTGCCCCCACCCTAGGCCCACCTCCATCACCTTTTCCAGAAGCAGACCTCACAGCGGCCGTCTCTGTGCTTTTATCTGCTATCCTCCTCCCCAGATGGTCAGTCTCCCAGGTCCTCTGGCTCCCAAGCCAGTCCTCTAGTCACTATACCAGGCTGCCTCACCATCCCCAGGGAGGGAGAATGGTTGAGTTTGGCCTAGTCTACTTATTGTCAAACCTTTCTTCTCCAGCTTCTTTCTTCCCAGCAATGGCAAAAGATGTCTTGAATGACACCCAAGGTGAAGGGCCCCTAAAGCTGCTTCCTTACCTGGGCCGGCAGAGGTAGCCTCGAAAAAATCTTACTGTATGGGTGTCAGACTATGGTTCTCTTTCATTTCCTTGACTTGGGGGGTTCCTTTCCTTGTTTCCCTAGTTTGCAAACCGGGGAGAACCCTTACTTCCCTTCCTCCTGTCTGCACCCTGCTCCTTCTCTGTTTCCATCTTTTGGGGAGGCTGGTGGGAGGATTCATTCATCCATAGTCAGAACCTGCTTGGACTTCCTTGAAGGGTGTGGTGGCTAGCCATCCTCATCAAATCTGCTTCTCATTAAATGGATTGCTTTTGGGGGAGAGGGCTCATCCAAGTGAGCTTTTGGCGATTCTCCGGGATTTGGAGAGGGGCTGAAAAGGAGAATCCAGCCAGGCTTCCCTCTGTAGGGTTTTTTTTTTTAAGTATCCATGGCCTGACTGCAGGAATGGGGAAGGGACACAGGAGCTCGGAAAAATCTTAGCAGAAGGTCCACCCAGGTCTAGTTGCAAGAACACTAGATTTGGAGACATAAATTGAGAAAGCCTCTGGCGAGAGGTTCCCTACTTTTACAGGTAAGGACCTGAAGCCTAAGGCAGGTCTTACCAAGGATAGCCAGGTAATTAGAAGCATCCGAGGCAGGGTGTGGGCCTCCAGGCCTCTCACTTAAAAGCCATTCCCTTTCCATGGTGCCACAAAGGCCTGGGATTACAATCCCAGCTAGCTGTGTGACCTTAGGTAAGTCACTGGCCTTTGCTGGGCTCCAGTTTTCTCTTCTATAAAAGGCAGGTTGGGGCTCGATGAACTCTAAGGCTCCTTCCAATAAATAACTTTGGGTATGGGAGGGGCTACCCCAGCACTTCGGGAGAGTTCTGGTCCTGGGAAGGCCCCCAATACTCAGGCTGGGTGGTAGGCATTTCCCGGGCTGCAGCCCAGCCTCCCTTGGCATGTGCCCCTCCCCCAGGCTCAATAGGACCTCGCCTTCTTTTATATGCAGCTGCCAAGCAACCGCTGCCTGGAAGCTGGCGCCCCTTTTTCCTTCCCTCCTTTCCCCCGACTTTGCATTTTCCTCCCCCTAACCCCCGCTCCCAACCCCTTTGCAATTTGCACAGCACTCCCGCCCTCCCTGGATGCTCGGTGTAGTCCCCAGAGCCAGTGCGGCGTCGCCGGCCGCAGTATCTTCGCGCAGTCTGGCACTCCCGCTGCGCAGAACTCAGGGCGTGGTGCGGCTGCTGCATCACTCCCCAAAGGCTCGTGCCCCCGTCCCTTTCCCGCAGGGCGGCTCCAGCCCTGAGCGCGAGCCTTCCCGGAAGGGCGGGAGGAGAGCTCGCTTGCTGCAGCCCCTCCTGCAGCCGTCCGCCCAAGCCATTGGCTCTGCGGCAGTCACCCTACACGGGGACGAGGATGGGAACGGACGGGAGCTGCAACCTCCCGGGAGAGGCGTGCATGCGCGTGTGCCCGTTCAGGGCAGGCATTTCTGCGCCAGTACCACCGCTGCCCTTCCCCCTCCCTCTTCCCTGGCATGGGCCTCCCCTCCCATGGCGCTGCAGATTCTGCTTTCGGGGCTGCTGCAGCTGCAGGGGCTCCGGACAGCGCGAGCGCGGCAGCGGCGCCAGCAGCCGCTGCAGCTGGCGCGAGCTCTAGTCCCTGGCCGCCCTATCCCCGGGCCTCGCTCAGCTTCGGGGCCCACCCCATTATTGCACCACTCTCCCAGTCATTTGCATATCCCTTACGCCTCAGCCAATCAGCTCGCGCTCCAACCGAAGCGGATGGCTTTTGCCGAGGAGGAAAGGGAGTGGTTGGTGGCGCATGCGCCGCGGAATCCGCCAGGAACTCTGGCTTTTATTGCTGTCTTTTCGCCCGCCCCCTCACCCCCGGCCCCCAATCTCTCTCTCTCCCTCTCGCGCTCTCTCTCTCTCTCTCTCTCTTTTTTTTTTTTTTGCTCTAAGCCGGGGCTGGGCTTGGAGCAGAGGAAGAAAGGGAGACAGACAGACCGCGGGGTTGCATTTGCTCCCCGTTTCTGCCCTTGGCTAGCAGCCTCAGGACCAGCTTGCCCGTTTCTGCATCCTGCAAAGAGCCAAGCTCCTTTCTGGACACCCCTGGCCATCAAAGCGGGCAGTTCTTTGCAGTATCTGGTCCCCAAGCGAGAGAGGGATGTCTTATCAGGGGAAGAAAAACATTCCGCGCATCACGGTGAGTTTGGTGTCCCGGGAATCCGAGGCGCTCTTTGTGCAGCAGATGATGCAAAGAAATTAGGAGGGAAGGGCGGGCGCGAAGGAAGAGATTAATTAGGATCCCTCCCCAGGATTAATCTGCAAAGGCATTAAACGTGGAGCCTAATTGCATTAAGTGTTCTAGCTTTCCCGGCCAAGCCTTATCTGGCCCTGACAGCCCTTCATGGCCCGGGGCGGGCAGGGATGCTCATCTCCTGCTTGCGCTGGTGGTCAAAGCGGAGGGGTGCCCGGCTCAGGGTGCCCAGGCTGCAGTGGGGCATCTTGGGGCTCCTTGCAGGGAGAGATGCGAGGAGCGCTGCCAGCCTGCTTCCCCTTCCAAGAAAAGGTGTCAACCTTCCTCCTCCCCTCCATCCTACTCTCCAGAGAAAGAAGGGTGTGTGTATGGGGCGGGGTGGGTGGTGGGCAGGAAGGCAGAGAAATAATGACAGACGAGGGATGGAGGAAAGCGCAGAGTGCAGAGGGATGAAGGGGGAAAATCCTAGAACGTGCATGCAAGACCTAAGGAAGGATGATGGAGAGTCAGGTCTCTGAGGCTCCATTGCCCCTCGGCGACATGTTTTTGTTACCTCTGTTTTCTGTCCCTAATTCCCTCTTTTTTTTCTCCTCCAGGTCCCTATGAACTCTCTCCCTCTCCTCTTTGACTCGTCTCCTTCTTTTCTCTCTTTTTCTCCCTACGCATTTCCCCCTCTCTTCCTGCTCATCTCCTTCTCTTCTTCCCTCTCCTCTCTTACTTATTTTCCCTTCCCTTCCCTTATTTGTCTTTACTCTCCCTCTCTTGGCCTCCTCATTCCCTCTTCTCCCCCTCATCCCCTCTCTCTTCCCCCTCATTCCTCCTTTCCCCCTTATTTCCTCTTTCTTCCTCCATTTCTTCTCTCCCCCTTATTCTCTTTTCTTCCCCGTCCCTCTCTCTCCTCCCCCCTCATTTCTTCTTCTCCTCCTTCATTCCCTCTCTCCTCCCATTCCTTCTCTTCCCCTCCCCAATCCCTGTCCCCACGATCCCCACTCTTCTCCTCCACCGTTCCCTCTCCCTCTCTTTTCTCCCTGGGCTTGGCGCTCTTTCTTCTGGCGCTAGTGTTCTGGCGGTTCCCGAGCTCCCCATCCCTCCCCCACTTTGCCCCCGCTAGTGCGAAGGAAGCTGCCCTCTCTTTGCCTGCCCGCCAGCCCTGGCTCATACAAAGACGCTTTCCTTGTAACGGCAGCGGCTAGAAGCTAGGGACAGCGCCTAAGTATTTGTCCGGAGGGAATGGCGCTGCTCCCAAGCCTGAACGGAACAGATGGCCCTTGAGCTCCCATCCCCTCCAGCCCCGAAGAAAACAATGATGACAAAGAGTGGGAGGATGCTGCTGCTGCTGCTGCTGGTGGCGGTTGCGGCTGCTGCTGCTGCTGCTGCCACCTTCCCCCTCCCCTCCCCCTCCCTCCTTTTACAAATCATCACAAAAACAAATCCGTGTCGAGAGTTTAGAGCCCCAGAGATGAATTTTTACCCCTACCCCGCCCCCATCGTCCTCGCCTGGAAAAATCTCGCCAGCCCTTGTGGTGTGCATCCCTGAGTGAGCTTCCTGGGGGAGGAAAAGCGGGAGAGGGAGGGAGGGTGGGAGGGAGGGACTGCCGGAGGGAGGGAGGGCAGGCAGGCATTGTTATGTAACTCTGTGTTTTTCTTCACTCCCGGACCAATTCCTATGTAGGAGGCTGAGGGAAAGGCCTTGGACTGGTCTCCATCAGAAGGATGCTGTGTCATGGGAGATCCTCTGGGCCTTTCTCCCTGCAGGGACCTTAGCTCGCCTTCCCAGTGCAGGCTCCCCAGCCAGCCTTGCTCCTTCAGCCCAAAGGGCACACCCATCTTGGGGCTTCTTTCCTTCCAGGGAGAAAGGAGGGGGAGAAGAGATGGGGACCAGATGGATGTAAAGATGGAATTTGGGTGTGAGGTCTCTGCAGGCTGGCCTAAGTGTGAACTGGATGCTTCCCTAGCCCAGGGATGGTAATTTCCCCGCCTTTCTCCATGGAATGCTTTCTCCCCTGGAAACCATTCAATATTCCTCACCCTGGAAGAGCTTGGGGTGGAAGGGCTGGTTGGATGGGTGAGGCTGGAAGGTATTTTGTAATTGGAGGGGTAGGTGGGTAGTCTGCACCCCATTTAGGGGGTCCTCATAAGTGAACAAAATGTATTTTGAAAAGGAAAGGGGATGGAGAATGACAAGCCAATCTAAAGACCCTGCTTTACAAAGACTTTAGTGGTATTTTTCATTAGAAAGCAAAAAAAAAAATCAGATTCCTTTCCCTCGCTTCTGTTTTCCACCCTCCTCCCCCATTCACCTCCCAATAGCATCTGTAGAATACATGATCTCTATACCATGACCAGGCATTACAAGGAACAGGCCTGCTGAACTTGGATGACAGGAGCTGGAAGGGACCTCAGAGGTCATGAGTCTGATCACTGAGAAACTGAGGCCCAAGAGGTTCAAAAGGTCACAGAATGTCTCTGGGGGAAGGGGGTTCAGCTACTACCTAGTCCAACTCCCTCACTTTACGTATAGGGAAACTGAGGCAAGAGTGGTTCCTCAACAGAATCAGGCCTCAGATAATTAGGAGGGGTGGCCATTCTGATACTGCAGTCCCTTGGGTAATGGTTGGCCAAGGGCATGCTCCAGTACCATTCCTGGAGGTAAGATTGAACCTGAGCTCAAGGGAATCTCTATTTATTTGCTTATTTGACACCTTATCTGTATTTGCCTTTCTAAAATGATGAACTAGGAGAAAGAGGCCTGCAATATCTATATAGGTGTATATGTATGTATATATATATATGTATATATATATATATACATATATACATATATATGTATATATATATACATATATACATATATATGTATATATATATACATATATACATATATAGTTTATGTATGTATGTATTAGTGGCCTTATAGCCTGAGAGGAATCTGTGAGAATAGTTCCTGGACTAAAGTGAGTATACAGAACATCCCCTCCCCCCAAAAAATTATTGCAGTGCCAAGGAAAGAGCATTGGGTTCGATTTCTGGCTCTGCTACTTATCTGTGTGACCTTGGGTAAGTCACTTACCCTTTTAGGGCCATAGTTTCCTCATTTGTAAAGGGGAGAGGTTGGACTATACTAGTCCCTTCCAGCTCTAGACCCAGAATGGCCTGTGATCCTCTTTTTATGTGCTTAGCCAAATACACTCACACGTGTGCAAACCTCTGCAACTTTACATATCCTTACTGATTTGTCACACATGAGGGAACTCCCCAGGGGTGGATTTCCTGGGGAGCATGGCCTCTAAGATATGCGGACCTGGCTGCCATTTGATTGGCACATTTGGAGGTAGCACCCACATTGATGGGAGTAATAGAGTCACATGTATCTGTGAGCCCTGGGGTGAGCCAGAGATTTGTCATTTGACCATCCCATTGGTAGCCAAAATATGAGTATTCCTTTTAAACTTATGGTCCCATAAAATGTCATGATCTGGTCCAGCTTGCATGGCTTCCATTTAATCAAAATAATAGTCAGATGTTTGTGAACATACGATATTAATTTTGCATTTAATTGAGAACAGTTGGGAGGGAAGTGTCACACTATATTTCTGTTTCTCTTACAGCCTCTCCTGAGGTTGCTGAATAGCTTTCATAGACATTCTGCACAAATACCTGTCAAGGACATGATAAGAGAAATCAGATCTTTGTAGTGGGGATCTGGTGGAAATATTTGCTGTCACTTCTGCATTTCCATCTCTGTTTCATATCCACTTGGTAGTTCTGAAATTATTGGGGTGGGAGAGAGAAGAGAGAGAGAGAGAGAGAGAGAGAGAGAGAGAGAGAGAGAGAGAGAGAGAGAGAGAGTTAGTTGTCTTGGAAGTTAGGAAGACCTGTGTTCAAGATCTGCGTTCAAGTCCTGTGTCTGATGTAGTGGCATCATTACCCTGGGCATTCACTTCACGTGGCTGTACCCTGGACAACTCTTAGATTCTTAAGTTGCAGAAAAGGTACTGACCTGAATTGGTGGAGGGAATTTCCTCACCTGAAAATATCCAGTCATCAACCCTATTAAGAAAAAAATTAAAGTCTTCCTACTCCTTTGCTACTTTGTAATTTGCCTAGAAGAGAAGAGTCATTAGAAGGGACCCACTGGTTTGGAACCTTGCTACAGCTGGATTAAATTAGTTTGTGTTGAGTTACCAATAGCAACAGACTTTTCGTCAATTTTTCTGACTGTAACTGACTCAGATTTAGCCAAGAAGTGACTTTACTATGTGTGGGTGTGAATAATAATGTTAAAAAAAAGAGGATCTGCTGGAAAACTATTATCTATTCCATCTGAAACTGTGTTCCCTGCCTTTCAATGGGTGATTGTTTTGGATTTGTTTTTATGAGCTTGCAGGTATGACAATAATAAAAAAAAAAAGGTCTTTTATCTAGGAAGAGCCGTCGGCTTTGCTGGGGAAATGGATAATCATGTGCAGCCTCACCCCTCTGCCTGAGTTTGCTTCCTGACTGGCTTATTCCAGCATCACCTGGGGCTAATTCACAGGTTTCCGCATCTCCTTCCTCAAAGTCTGAGTGAGCCAGATGATATTGACTGGTTTCTTCTCTTGTTTTAGAGCGATCGACTTTTGATCAAGGGTGGCAAGATCGTGAATGATGACCAGTCCTTCTATGCAGATATTTATATGGAAGATGGGTTGATAAAGTAAGTATGGCTTTTTTTTTCAGCCAATGGTAGCTTTCATTTTTATTTTATTTTATTATTTTACAAATTTTATTTTATTTTTTACGTAAGAATCATTTGCTGTTACCAGCCAACAAAGAAGCACAGTTAAGCAAAAGTTACTGTTACGGTGACAATGTTTGTGGCATTCTTCCCAAGAGTTGTTTATCTTTGGTCAAACCACTTATCACGTGATGACCATGTAGCTGAGCCTGCCTAGACTGGCCCTCAGACCGCAGACACTCTACTCAGAGGTCGTCCAGTTCAGTTGGCCTGGTAGGGACTGGACTAGCCTTTAGGAACCCACCTCCATGCCAAGATGAAGCATCCTAGGAAGACTTTAGAGGAGGGAATCCAGGAATATAGTATCAGATTATACTGAGAACAACGAACAGCCTGATGCCTGTTTTAAAGCACCTTTTGACAAGTGACATAGAATGAATTTGAAAAAACTCTGTGTTTTGGAAGGTTTAGAATTCAAAGTTAAATGAATAGTTTGCATTTTCTTCCTCTTAGAGAGTAGTCCCAACCAGGGCAAACTGGAAGACAATATAGGTCCCCAGGGAGGCAGGGCTCGCCAGAGTGGGGAGCTTTTTGTGACTATTTAGCAAACCCCAGTTCTCTCCTTTTGGAACTGGGGTGCAAGAACTCCCAGGTAGTTAGGTATTCTTAATTTGGTTGAAAGTGTGCCTTTATTTCTTATTCAAATACTCAACCTATGGTATGTGAAGTGTCCACAAGGCTCCCTTGGAATGTGGTGCTTTGGGGTGATTTGCTCCATTGAGGGTTGTAAGTCTGGAATGCGACTGACTGGGTTGGGTCAGCACATCGGTTTTCTTAGTCAGGGATCAAGGAGGAGGACATCTAACTGATTACAATGAGACACTGGAAATGATCTTTGCTAATGGCCATTTTGGGGGCCTCATCCTTGATTTGGCAAGGAGCCTGGAAGACTGCCCTTACATTGGCTGTGTGCACCTGGCAGTGTGTTACAGAAGCACCGAGGCAGTGGCAGTACCTTCAGGGTGCTTGTGGCTAGAGGGAGAGTTTGGTCCATGCCAGGACAGAGAACATGTCTGTATCATCTTACCCTCCTCCACCCCTTCTTGCACCCTGAGTCGCTCACATGGAGAAGTGGCACATCTGTCTGATTAGAGACAGACATTCCAGCAGATGACATCCTCTTAGTACCCAGCACTCACTGAGTGCCGGCAGCACAGCATCCCTGGGTAACAGAACATTGCCAGGGATGGAGTCTCTCATTCTGATTCACCAAGTGAAGTCGGGATAGTTAATAAATATTTATTGAGGACCTACTATGGGCCAAGCGCTGTGTTAAGCACTGGGTCGGAAGCTGGTCAGCACATCTCCATCACAGTCTCCACCTGTTTCAGACCTTGCCCCAGCCCACCCTAGCGCTTTGGGGTTTGCTTTCTGAACTTTTGTGGCTTCACAGAGCCGGCGTTGCGGTAGGGGGGCTGTGCCCAGCAGGGTGCTGTTTTTGTTTCTGCCTCTGGCTGGCTTGGCAGCATCTCCACCTGCTCCTTGTCTTGATTTCTCCCCTGTTTTGCAAAGGAGTGCAGGAAGGAGGAACTGAACAAGGCCTGTTAAATGAAGCTGAGGCCCAGCATGGCTCTGAGGTGGCGTGGGCAAAGCTTGGTTCTGGGGGGAAGTCCAGATCTGGGATTTCACTGTTGTGGAAGGGAGCTGGTAGGGAAGCTCCCTCCGCTCTGATCTGGATGAATGAGTAAATGAAAATGCATTTCTTAAACTGCCACCCTGGGCAAAGAACTGTGATCTTAGAGAGTTATCAGTGACCTGTCCAGGGTCATACAGCCAGTATGTGTCAAAAGCAGCAGCACTTAAAACTCAGGTCTTCTTAGATCCGAGTCCAGCCTTTTGTCCACTGCTTCCCTGCCTCTTCAGTGTAGGAGATCCTGGGATCATAGGCAGAGAACTGGAAGGGCCTTAGAAACCAGCTGGCCCAGGCTCCAAATTTTACAAATAGGGTAACTGAGGCCAGAAAGGAAAAATGCCTTGCCAAGGTCACATAGGTAGGAAAAGGTAGGGCTTGGATTTGAACCCACTAATACCAGTGACATTATTCATTAATTCCCAGTAGCCTTGTTACACACACACACACACACACACACACGCACACACACACACACACACAAACCATATATTTTATTTATGAATATATTCATATAAACACATTATATAACACATAACAATTTTATATGATATATAAATATGTATATTTATAAATATTTATATATGAATATAATTTTATATGTGTGTATATATCTACATCTGTATCTTTATGTATCTCTATCTCTATTTGTCTGTCTGTCTATCTGGGAGGTAGTCCATGATTCGACTCTTTCCTTAGTAAGAGGGAATGACTGGGTGGCTCACTGGGTACAGCACTGGCTTTAAAGCTAGAAAGACCTAAGTTCAATTCTGGCCTCAGACATCATCTAGCTGTGTGATTCTGGACAAGTCACTTAACCTCTGTTTGCCTCAGTTTCCCTGTCTGTAAAATGGAGATGATAATAGCACCTACCTCCCAGGGTGGTTGTGAGGCTCAAAGGAGATAACGTCTGTGAAGGGTTTGGCACAGTGCCTGGCTCATACTAGGAGTTATATAAATGTTAGCTATTTGTATTTATATTCTCATTAAGATGAGGTCCTTTATTGGTTCTGTTATAACTCTCTCCCTTCAGATGGCTTCTCCGAGGCCTTCTGCATTTTAGTGATATTTAGATGTTACTAATATTTAATTTAATCTTTCAAGAGCTCAGTGATTCCATCAGTGTGGATACTCTGCCCTTGGGTGTTGGCAGTCACCTTAGCAAATAGTTTTTTAAGTTTTGCTATGGCCCCAGAATTAATTACCTGGAGAGCTAGTGCTCAGCCTTCTGGGGACAATGGTCATCTCAACACGGTCACCTACAGAGGGTGAGGCATCTTCTTAGGAATGAAAGTAAAAAATATAGAAAAATGAACTCAGAATTCTCCCAGCCCCTATCCTGGTCCCCAGGAGGCTGTTTCACTTTTGGAGGCCAGTAGTCCCCCAGAGAAGGTGATGCAGGAGAGTTGGGCCACCTGATCTGATTAACAGTTGTGTTCATGACTCTGTAATGAGCCTCCTCACTGACCCAGCCTTGTTTAATCCAGGCAAATAGGCGAGAACCTGATTGTGCCAGGAGGGGTGAAAACCATCGAAGCCCATTCCAGGATGGTGGTGCCCGGCGGCATTGATGTGCACACCCGTTTCCAGATGCCAGACCAGGGGATGACGTCTGCCGACGACTTCTTCCAGGGGACCAAGGCCTCCCTGGCAGGGGGAACCACGATGATCAGTAAGACAAGTCTTTGTTTAAGTTTTGAGCTGACCTTTAACATGCCAGTACCATTCTGGTCTGAGGATAAATCGCCATTGTCTGGGGTGCCTTTCTGAACAGCTGGGAGTCGGCTTCTGTTCTTGTCGATGCCACCAAGGAAGGGGGGGTGGGTGGGAGCTTGACCCCAAGAGGCGCATCAGTGGATGGCGCGTTTTCTGGTGGTCGGTGGGTTTTCCCACGGGCCAAGGAGGATGTCTCTGGTTTTCTGGTGAATTTGTGTAGTGAGAGAGGGCAGTTTGTCAGAGTTTTGGAGGCAAGAGGTTTGTTTTCCTCAAACAAAAATGTGATTCAGCTGGGATTATTTTCAGAACAATGCAGTCATTTTTTGCATGATCCTCTGATCTTTGATTCTTAAAAAACAAAACCTCCAAATTGTCAGTAACTTTGTTATTAAATATTAAATATAGCTTCTTGATCCCTGTCTCATCTCGTCCCCCTGGTAGCATAGCATTCTGGGAATGAGGATGGGAGACAGTAATATTGGACAAGAGACATGGAATGGGACTCTTGAGTTCTTATTTCTCCATTGACCTTGGAAGTAACGACAAGCATTTTCTGGACTGGGTTAGAAACGAATTGAACCAAGGGCCTTTCTGAGGGCTAGGGTGGGGCAGGACTGCATAGAGGCCTTCAGGAGAAGTAGAAGACAGTCCTTTGGGTAGGAAGGTGTTTCTGTTGACCCCCATGTCATTAATTAGGCATTTCTTTTTGCCTCCCTCCACCCTATAATGAGGAGAGGTCATACTCTCACGTGGGCCCTTTCTGGATCAACACAGTCCCAGAGATGGAGGACAACTGGCTGCTAACTGGGCCATATTGGGAAAGAACCCATTATGTTGATCTTACTAGGACAGCGTAGCTCAGAGGGTAGCATCCGCTCTAGTTTGCAGATTCCTGGTATAGTGGATAGAGTGTTGGAGCAGGCGTCAGGAAAATGAGGTAACTCTGTCCCAGACCTGTACTAGCTCTGTGATGCTGGGCCAACCCCTTAACTTCTCTGAACCTCAGTTTCCTTATTTGTAAAATGAGGATAATGATCCCTGTAGCACCTACTTATGGAGTAGTTGGGAGGTTCCAACAGCACAAATGTCTCTCATGATGCTACGTAGGAGTTGTAATTTGTGTTGTTAGCCCCACGCCATAACCAGCTCCTCATCCAAATGAGTGGACCAGACGCAGATGTGAGAACATTAACAAGGAAGGAGGAGAGAAAGCAACTGCTAGGTCTACAGCGTTTCTTCACATCTCACAATCCAAGGGTAAGGTTGGAACTGTAGAACCATTGGATGCCTCAGCTGGAAAGGGGATTAGAATGTAGGCCGTCAGGGTTGAGGGGCCTCACAATATGGAGTGGCAGAGCTGGAAGGAACATTAGAATACAGAATGCCACAGCTGCAGGGTTCTTAGAACGTAGACCATCAGAGCTGGGAAGGACCTTAGAAAATAGAACACCAGAGCTAGAAGACACCTTAGAGCATGGACTATAGAATGCCAGAACTGAGGAGTCCTTAGAACACAGAAGATCAGAACTGGAAGGGACCTTAGAACAAAGAACAGAGAATATCAGGTTTGGGAAGGGCCTTAGAACATCGAACATAGAACACCAGATCTGTGGAGTCCTTAGAGCATAGAAGATGAGAACTGGAAGGGACCTTAGAACAAAGAACAGAGAACATCTGAGTTGGGAAGAGCCTGAGAACATAGAACACCAGACCTGGGGAGTCTTTAGAATACAGAACACTGAAGCCAGAAAGGACCTTGGAATATTAGAACTAGAAAGAACCTTAGAGCATAGGACATCAAAGCTGGAGGAGCCTTCAAACACAGAACTTTAGGCCTTAAAACATAGACCATCAGAGCTGGAGGGGCCTTGGAACACAGAACATCAGAGCTGGAGGGGGCTTAGAATATAGAACAGAAAAGGTCATAGCTAGAGGAGACTTTAGATCATAGAAGGTCCTTAGAACATAGAACATTGAAGATGAGAGCTGGAAGAGGCCTTAGGACATTGAACATAGAACACAAGAGGTCAGAACTGAGAGGAGCCTTAGGACATAGAAGGTCATAGTTGGAAGGGACTAGAAGGAAATGATAAGATGGGCAAATCATATCATATTCCACTTGACCCGTTATTTAAACTAAGGGGTTTGATTTCTGAAAATGTAATTAAGCCCCCCCCTCGCCACTGACCACATCTCCTCCTTAGTCTGGCAGAGGGAGGAGACTGATATGGTGGTTTTACCCGAAGTGCTTGACCCGGGAGGCTTGGCAGTCAGCAGGCTTCTTGGGCTGGGTCTTCACTTCCCCTGTTTATTGTGCCCTCTCTGCCATCTTTAATCTGACGGTCAGAGATAGTCACAACCATGGTGCTTGGCTAAGCCCTCCTGGCTAACTTCTACCTTTTTCTAGGTGTTACCGTGTGCCAGGGCTCCTGACAGCCTCTCTGACCTGGCACCTGGTAGCTGAAGCCCCAGGAATAGCTTGGTTCTTTGAAACTTCATCTGAGCCCTCTGGGCCCTTCAGCTTTCATCCACCCCAGCTCTTATGGTTATGAGGTTTTGTCATCATACCTAAATCCGAGTCTGTGAAGCTTTCACCCATTGCTCCTGGTTCTGACCTCAGGGGCCAAACAGAACAAAGTGAATCCCTCGGCCACAAGACAGTCCCAGAAACAGGACTACTTTCCCCCATCCTTGCCCTCTGCATCCTCCCCCTACCCCGATGTCTTCTCTTCCAGGCCAAATATCCCCAATTCCTTCAGCTAATCCTCTTCTAACGTGGACTCGAGCCCCTTGATGAAGCTGGCTGCAGAATCGGGTTCAGTCCTCCAGCCCATTCTCCGAAGGGTGGCCTCCTTTTATCCCCGACTTGGGACTTTGCACACGGTTCTGTGGGAAGATCCTAACCCCACCACGTACACTGAGTCAGAACCTAGTGGATTAGAGTGGTAAAAGCACTGGGTTTGGAGTCAGTGCACCTGAGTTTGAATGGCAGGTGGACGGCTTACCACCTGGATGACCTTGAGTAAATTCCTCAGCCTCTTGGTATCTCAGTTTTCTTGTCTGTAAAATGGAGTTGGCCAGATGGCTTCTCAGGTCCCCTAAGTCCCAAGCCTGGGTGATCTTGTTCCTAGGATCCTGGGAGCTAACGAGAAAGTCTTGCCCCAGATTCATATCTAATTAGCTTTCTCAAAGGATACACACGGGCTTTCTCTCCAGCGTTTTGGAAATGCCGTGGCGAGGTCTTCCCCTTTGTAGCTGCCTTCTGGGACAGGCCAGTTCAGCCTTGTTCTCTGTTCCTCTAATCAGGCTCCCACTTCTTTCTCTTGTTTCCCATCTCTTTCTCATGCTGTTAGTTATTATTAGCTTGGCCCAGTGGCTAGGAAGTCAGCCTCCAAGCTGGGAAGACTCAGGTCAGGTCTCTCCTCTAAGCCCGTATTTGGTGTCATTCATGTGCTCTAGAGAAATCTCTAAGAAAGAGGTTCTTAACCCAAGGCCCCTAAACTGATAACAGTATTTATTGTACCAGTGGAATTAGTTTATCTTTTAATCCTGTGTATTGTATTTGGTGGATTTAAAAGCATTTATCTGAGAAGGGGTCCATAGGCTTCCCTAGACTTGCCCAGGGTCACACAACCCATCTAGGTCAGACACAGGTAGAGTTAAGTATCCCTGCTCTAAGACTGTACATTTCAGAGATGCTGACCTCTGTTACTAGAGGATGTTTGGAATTTCTCCATTTCAGAGAAATCACAGGCCCAGTTCCTAAGCCTATCCCTTTTCCTATTATTATTGTCATCATTTTCTTTCAAACCCAGTGGGAGTTCTGCTGTTTCCAGTCTCTTTGAGTTCCTCCTGGAGGAAGCAGGCATTCTACTGGCTGGGCCTAGGCCTTGATGTCTGGACAAAGGTCCAGAGGGACTGGATGGGAGACTTCATAGACCAGGAAACTCAGACTGAGCTCCTAGCAATGAAGGGGAAGTGAAAGAAACATATGGCCTGTCTGGGCCTGCAGAACATAACCGCATTTAAATGTGGGCTTTGGAATCATGTTGAAATGAGGACATTCAGAAAGTTGTTGGCCGTGGGTTGGGGTGCATTGATGAGCTGGTATAGTATCTTGCTGCCTGCTGGGTGATGTAGTGGATAGAGCCCTGGACCTGAAGTCAGGAAGACCTGAGTTCAAATATAGCCTCAGACATTTACTAGCTGTGTGACCCTGGGCAGGTCACTTAACCCTGTTTACCTCAGTTTCCTCATCTGTAAAATGAGCTAGAGAAAGAAATGGCAAACCACTCCAGTAGCTTTGCCAAGAAAACTCAAATGGAGTCAAGAAGAGTCAGACAGGAGTGAAATGACCACACTAGCACCCACCTCTTCTCACAAAGAGGGGACAAAGAACAAAAAGCAGTCAGTGGAGGTGTCTGGGTGGGCCAGGAGAAGTGGGGAGTCACCTTTGGCTCCCTTCTCCTCTTTCGCCCTCTGGACTCTTGCCACGTCTTGCCAATTCGAGCTCCTCAGCCTCACTTGTATTCAGCCCTCGTCTCCATCCCAGTTCAAGACTCCATCGCTCCTCACCTGTGCTTATCAGGATAGTTCCCTAACTCATCCTCTGGCCTCTGTTCTTTCATTTCTTCCCAATCCATTGTTCACACATCTGGGAAACCAATTATGTAAAGGCACAGGTCTGACTCACTGGCTCCTTCTGCTGCTAACTTTGTGACTCTGAGCAAGACACTTAACCCCTCTGGGCCTCAATTTCCTAGACGCTCCTCTGATCATCTATTGCTTAGAACCTTCCGTGGCTTCTTTGGACTTTTCCATCCTGCCCCTCTCCAAGGTCTACCTCCCGATTTCTCCCCTTTGGTGTGTTGTCTGCCCCTCTTCGACTTGAAGCTCCCTGTGGGCCGTAGTCAATGCATAGTAAATGTTTCTTAACTGACTGACTGGTTCCCTATT